CAAATAGGGCGTTCTTGAAAAGTTTTTTGAGATAGGTCGTTTTCGAACTTGCTGCCGAGATAGGTGGATCTTCCACTCAGCAGTCGCATTGTTCTGGGATCATCCAGATCATCAAAGGAATAACTGCCATGGACTTTTTGCCTGTGCTGTGCCGGGCAATGAATGTTGAATGGGATCTATCTCATCGTCGTTCATACAATTTCTCTACCAGTCGATCTGGGGTGCGTGTAATTATATGAGACAATGGCCGCTAAAATCCAAATCACACGATTGGCGCATTTGCAGATTTTGACGGTCACAGAGTGCCGCTGTCTAGAATTTTTATCGATAATAAGTTCAACGCAATAAACAAAATTCCAGACAAAACCATTCTGTAACTGTTAATAGATACAAATCTGTACAAGCACCAATCCTGTGATTTAGCCTTAAGAGCTGCAGTCACTAAATATGTGGATGTATTGCCTCCTCAGAGACTTTGTGCGCTAGGCATATACGGTTGGTCAAGGTGTTTCACTTGCAATCTTTCATTTCTAGGAATTTATTTACCATGAGTAAAAATTTGTGAAGTGAGCCACCATTTTGCAATGGTCGAACTTTTTTATTTATTTCACAATTTTTCGAAATTCGAAGTATTTTAGCTATTAACTTTTTTTTGAAATTGTATAGATTTTAATTGTTTTCTCGCGATTGGAAATACTGATTCTGCTAATTTTTTAAACATGACGATGTTTTCTTTCCATTTTGATTTTGTATTTTGTCATAAAGTTATTAAAATTTTTTAAAATACATATTATTGACTTCTCAATCGCGTTGAAATCGCGTTTTGGGCTAATATTGTTATGCTTTCTATTAACAATTATTTGCAGAAGAAAAAATTGCCAGAATACATCGAGACTAAAGTTATTCACGATTTTCTCTTGACGCGCAACGAATTGTTTGTATTCGACAATGTCGAGCTATGGCGCGCAATAGATCGTCAGTCAGCCTTGCACTTTCGTTTGATGTCGCGATGGCCATGGACCCAGGCGATATGTATGCGTAATATCTCAGCGACATTTTTTTACAGGGACTTGCGCCAGGCTTAGCCTGTAAAGCTGAAAGACGTTCCTTACTGTTGCTTCCATGTAAACATGGATTGGATCTTTTTTTTCTGACCAAGTCAAATCTTCATTCTTCCATTGAAGGGAGTCAAATAGTTCGTTTTCTGATTCCTCTTCATTTTCAAATTCGGAAGAACAACTGTCATCTGAATCAACTTGATTAGATCCGCCATATTGGAACCGTCATTTAAAATATTCCAAGTTCCCTAAAAATTGTAAATTTCTTTTTAAGTCATCCGCCATTTTGAATTTTCAAAATCTGACTTCAGATTCGTAAATAGCTACCCCCAAAACACCCCCCTATAAACAGTTTCAAAAAAATTTTATAATGGGTCTAATCACTGAACTCGTGTCGATCGGAAATCATGAAATTTTCGTATTATTTTCTATACAAATCATCCACAATTTAGAATTTTTTAAACCTGACTTTAGTTCGTAATCAGCGAGCCCAAAACCCCCCTATAGCCAGATTCATAAAAATTTAATTTTTTTTTAAGTCATCCACCATTTTGAATTTTCCAAAACTGACTTCAGATTCGTAAATAGCTACCCCCAAAACACCCCCCTATAGGCAGTTTCTTAAAAATTTTATAATTTTTTTTAAGTCATCCACCGTTTTGAATTTTCCAAATCTGACTTTAGATTCGTAATCAGCGAGCCGAAAAACCCCCCTATAGGCAGTTTCATAAAAATTTTATAGTTTTTGTCCAAAAATCATCCGCCATATTGGATTCGCCATTTTGAATTTTACAAGTCTGACTTCATATTCGTAATCAGCGAGCCCAAAAACCCCGCTATATACAGTTTTGTAAAAAGGTAATAATATATTTTTTTTAATTCATACGCCATTTTGGATTCGCCATTTTAAAGCAGCGAGCCCAAACCCCCTCTTGTACGAAGCCTCATTAAAATCGATCAATGGCTTCATATTTTCGCCACTTTTGATGAACTGCGGTCCATAGTGCTTTGATTGGGCTTTCAAAATTTTGACGAAATATTTTCAGGTCTTTCCAGCTATTCAAGTTGATAAAAATGCTATACTTTTCAGTCGTACTTTTAGAACTATTTTCGCTATCGGATACACTTTTTTTCGTCACCAAGCCAAAAATTCTCCTTCATAGTGAGAGCCTATGTACATTCGATTTACCTTTTGCCAAGGCAGTAGATAATGTAAAAAAAATTAGGGCAAATTTCACTCACTCCATCAAGATAGCTCGTACATATGTACATATATGTGTACTGTGTGTACACATCACATTGCCTACGGATTCATTCACCACCATTTTCGACATTTCATTCAATGAATTCAGGGAACGCTTGCATTGAAGTAACATTGAAGCAACATTATGAAAATCCTTGAAACGACAATCAGGAAATAGCTGGCTGGCATCGGCAGCAGCAGCAGCAGCAGCAACACAACACGAAAATGGTGAGAAGCGGAAGGTTGCTTGAAAGCCAGCCAAAATGCCATTGAGCGAGCGATACTGCCGCCAATGCCATTGCCAAAGCCACACCAATTTTTTTCGTTGGTCAGTCTGTATATACATATGTACGTAGATGTACTTAGTAAAACATAAGAACTCCATTCATAAAGTTGTATCAGTTTATTACTTTATTATATCGTTGCTCCATACGAGTACTTCACGCTCTCCATACGCTCTCTTCATCATGTGCGCTCACTTATGTGAAATGCCTGCGAATTTGAGAGATTTGAAGTTGTACATAGTGTCATGTATATATATGTAAAAAATTCAAGTTTATGCAGGACGCACGAAAGCGTCGACAGGAAGTCGCACAGACACGAACACATTCATACATATGTATGTATACAACAACTTTAATCCCTACCATTTCAGCGCAAGCTCCAAAACTTCAATTGGAACAGCTAAGTATCCCCTTTGCAATTTGCCACAGGTACTTGTTTGACTGCAGCAAAATAGCGCTGCCACCTGTTTGTGCGTCCAATTATATGTATTTTTATTCAACCGTATTGTGTGTACATATGCGTGTATGTAATGGCAAACTGTTTCGTGCAGCCAATGAAGGACTTAGTTACTATGCAAAAAACAGAAGGAAACAAAGTTGCTGCTGTTTGCATTTGTTGAAGGTTGTCTATAAATTCTTGCCATGCAACATTGTTATTTTTAACTGCAGCTCTGTGGGTTTATAACGCTCTAAAGGGCGTCCCTTTATTAATTTGTTGTGTTTCCATTAATGCGGATGTTTACGCACACACAGAAATACATATAGAAGCGATTAACAGTAACCTGTTCCGCAGCTGATTCTTCCTAAATTGATATGAATATTTGCATGTTTGTTTGTAGATACACTAATGGCGAAAAGTATTGGCACAGAAAATTTTTCACGATATGTGCAAGCATGCAGTTTTGTAGTCCATTCAATTTTTGTATAAAAAATCAAGTTTGAAGTTGCTTAAAGATCACGTAAATTTTTGAGAATTTTTTTGTTTGAAGGTGTTTCATATAATTTCCATGCAAAGCATATATTTTAGATTTTTTCGTTTTGCGTGAAAAATATGGCCAACAAATAAATTAAATTAAATAAAAAATAAAAGAAAATTTTAAATTATTTTAATTAAATAAAAAACATCTACAAAGTTAAAAAAATAAAAGTGAGAAATTAAAATATATGTAATAAAAACAACCATAAAAAATTAAAAAGGAATAAAACAAAATAAAAAATAAAATTGAAAAACTAAACAAATAAAAAAGGATAACAAAATAAAAAACTTAAATGAAAAGAAAAAAAAATATAATTAAAGACAATAAATGAAATTTAAAGTAAAATTAATTAAAAAAATTAAAATTAAATTATTTTAAGAATTAAAGAATTAATAAAACATACATATATAAACATTTTGAAAATAATAAAAAATAAAAAAATATTTTATCATATACATACATAAAATCAAAAAATAAGACAAGACAGTGAGACTACAAAAATTTAATAAAATAGTTTTTAATTATATGTATGTACACACACACATACATTTGAAAAAAATAAGAAAGATCAAATAAATCTTATTTGGCACTACACCCGTTTGGCGTTACAACCGTAAATAAAAAATAGAAGAAAAATTTGAATTACGCAAAAGAAATGTATACTACAAAATTAAAAAGAAATCGGCTAAAAGTAAAAAATTAAATTAAAACCATAAAAATAAATTGACAAATACAAAGTAAAAACAATACAAAAAAATTAAATTAAAAACACTAAAATAAGTATAAAAAATAAAGATAAAAAAATATATAAATAATAAAAATAAAAAAATAGATAAAAAATAAAACAATGCAGTTTTGTAGCCCATTAAATTTTAGTATGAAAAATGAAAGTTTGAAGTTGCTAAACATCGCGTTGATTTTTGAGATTATTTTTTTTATTGAAGGTGTTTCGCATATTTTCCATACAAAGTATTTTCGAAATTTCTTTTTGCAGGGAAGAAAGTGCCAAAAATCCACGGTAAGTCCTAGCTACTTCAAATTTGCACTTTATTATACTATGGCCTACAAAACTGCATACTTAAAAAACTCTAAAAATCTGATTTAAATGTTTAAAATTTGCGTGAAAATTTATTAAATTTCGCACAAAGTTTAGAAGTTATATTTTTA